ACGACTACTACTATTACTGCGACTGCGCAACTGCGTGCCCGGTCAAGCCTACGGTACGGTACCCGGTGCCCGGTCCATGAGAGCCGAACCTGTCCCACCCTCAGCTCGCTGGCGACATCCTCTACCGGCCCGTCCTGGCTTAGGTGGAGGTTTAGGCTTCGGGTCACACTTGAGGTTTAGGGGTGTAGCAAAAATGGCTGGGAGCTTTCAGGTTTCACAGGTAGGGATTTAATTTTGGAACATAGGCTTGTTGGAGTTTGGGGTGTTGTGTTTATCTTGCAAGTGCTTCAAACGGACTAGGGTGCCAGTTCATGGTCCTTGGCAAGTAAGGGGTGGCTGTTCGCGGCGTGTTTGCTTCACACTCCTCTTCGCACAAGGATCCGTCAGCCCGAAGGCTTGAAGGTAGCTCCAGCTGGCACGACATAAGTAACGTTCAGCCCGAAATTTGCACTGTAGTCTGCTTTCTGCCCATACATCCTGAACCCCAAGTCTTACCACATAAACATGGCCCTGGTAGTACGAGGCTGATGTGCTAGTGGGACCATTTCTTCTTTAGAGAGCTCGCAGAAGCGACCCGTTGTCATGTTTTTTTTGGTGTTTGGACAAGGTTTCGCGGCGGCTGCCGTGCTGGCGTGGCCAGTTGATCTGTGGAAAAATTTCACAAGCTCTTTTCAATGGTTTTCACGTTACCGCGGACGGGAAAAACCGCCCGGCTCACGTGTCAAAGGGGCGTTCAAAGGAAGTCGCAGTTGGTATTAGCTGGTGGTATCCGTAGCGTTGGGTGACAATGGCCGCCGTGGGCATAACTGATGCTGCAGCATTAGGGCTAAGGCGTGAGTCTTCAGAGGCTCGATTCACTGATTTGGGCCGTCAAAACGCAGTCGGTCCCGGAAGCTCGTCTTGTGGACGAGGCCTTGGATACTTGTCTGTGCTGTCCAGTCGGTTTGGGTCTGGGTCTCAAGATGCTTTATAATACGACAAAACTAAATGATATAGTAAGGTGTCGCATGAAACAAGAGGATGCATACATACATACATACAGACACATTCATACATATATATATAGGTTTCTATTACCTTATACCACATGTATAAACGTCAGGATCAAGGGACTTTGCAAGTAGCGTTATTATCAGGGGCAGCTATAACACAAATCAGGTTCTTACAGGTTAATCCGAGGTGGAAGCCAACGGAGCCCGGAATATCACTACTCATGCATACTACTGGGCTGATCTAGTGAAAGCAGAGGGTTCTGTGCCGACTTGCCGGGGATGACCGTGTGTCAACTGGTGGCGGCTGAAGGTCTCTATGTAACAGGCTGCTAGCATTCTACGACCATAGTATAGCAGCTCATCTTCCTGGGCTTGCAGTTCAGCAAACTCTACACTAGGCTAGGCCTGGCTCACTCTTGGGGACTGTCCACATGCAAAATAGTATAGTATCCAGGGATGTATCCGTTATATAGGAAATGCGTGCATATACGTGAATGTTAGTGTATGTGGGTGTATGTAGATATGTGGTCGTTGTTCCAAACATCTGTCCTCGAGTACGGCAGGTTCCCTACTCGTTCAGAGTCTCTTTCTACGGAAGTGCCTTGTCCATGCACCCTCGTTTAAAGGGGCATCTAAAACAACCCGAACCGTAAACCGCATGTTTGCAAAGATCCATCTTGACATCCCAAGTTCGAAAAGCCCAGATGCAAGCAGCAAACCCAGAATTGAAACATTAAGACATCCCGTTTGATCTCGCGAAAACAAGATCAGACAACCATGTCGTCCTAAGTTGCTACCTGCCTGTTTTGCATCATTGTTGTGGGCACCCAGCAATGCTAATCATGTTGGCCCCTGACCAGCACACACGGCAGGAGTATTGCTGTCAAGAGTTCTCGAGTCAGCGCACGGGTGCCGCACCATTATCACAGCAAGGCGCCATCCGCAAACTTCTCTGGATCCAGCCAAACTCGCACCATCGCTCCGTACTCAAGCAACGCCATCACCTGAGGGGGTGTGAAACAACCAAAAACATAATATTTCAGTTATACTGTGTCATATAGTATAAAATAACATGCTATGTAATACAATATAATTGTCATAACCCTGATCCAGATTTTCGGAGCTTCGGTTCGGCCTTAGGAGTTCTTGGGCTTTCGTAAGCTTGCTCTCTTCCGCCCTAGGGGTCGTGTTGAAAACTGGGGGTCCCTTGTTGGGTCCCCCAAATATGACGACACCCGAAAAGAATCCTGTTTAGGGTTTAGGGTTTCTTTTCCCTCACGAAGGTGTTTAGGGGTTTAGGGTTTCGGGTTCGATAGACGTCAGGTCGCTCTCCTTGACCCCAGAAGGCACAGAGAACCCTCGCCAGCCCTATAAACTCTAAAACCCTGTACTGTAAAGCCTATGCATAAACCCGACAAGCCCCAACCCAGCCTTCCCATCCAGCCACTTTGTGGTCGGGATGTCTGCGAAGGCATTGAATCTCATCTTCATCCTCACATGAAATCCCAGGTTGCGGGTTTCGGGCCCAGCAGTTTTGGGGCAACTATGAAAGACTACATGTGGGCGTGCTCGGACACCGGGAGCGGAGCGATCGAAGAGCCTGCGGATTGAGGGTGCAGAATTCAGGGCTTAGGGTTGAAATTAAGATGCTGCCATGCTGGTGCATCACACATAGCCTTCAATGGCTTGCGCTTGGCGCCGGAATCCCGAAACCCTGCAATTAGTTGCCTTCATTGCTAGGCCATCGCCCTTGCATACACAAGGTCTCTTCAGGCTCTTAGGGTCGAAAGGTGCCAACATTTCGCATTTCTCTCTCCGAGGGTCCTGATCGGCCGTCGATCCACTGCGCCCCCCTGAGAGCACAATTCTTGGAACGGGTAAGCATTTCATTGCCTTTAGAAGTTCTTCCCTCCATAACCCTGAAAGCCCAATTCCCTACACCGCGGGGTACTGTTCCTTAACACTTGCCAACTTTGATAGCCAAACCCGCAAACCCCTGAACCGACTCGTTCCGCCGGGAATTGCTGCAGGGACCATCTTATCTTATGCTACTCCAGTCCCCATTGTTCTAGGTTGACGCCTGAGGGAGATGCGAGTTTCCAACTTGCTGGCTTCGTTTTACGCGGCATGTGTCGAGCCTTTTCGGTTCTTACATGCAGGAATCTTGCCTCCGAGCCAAGGACATGACTACTGTGGGATACCTTATCTTATGGCTATGTTGAGGCTGCCCTAAGGAGTAATGTCGGCAGGAAATATTCAGACTTCGATTTCCAACATACCGTAGCACAGCTCCGGATCCGAATCTTACACGAGACACCCGTCATCACGAGAACTAAAGCCAGAAACTACAAAAATATGCTCTGAATGGCTCCTGGCGCCGGAAATCAAACTATCTGAGGAGTTGGATTTTTTGAGTGTCGTAAGTCTAGCCTTTCCGAACAGTCTCAAACCCTCACAGAAGTCCTACAAACCCTTGCAAGGCCTGACCCCCTCCGGACTCGAATGCAAACTAGGAGAACCACCTTCCGTGCAGGCCGCCGCCGCTCCCCGGCCCAAGCGACCTGAGAAAGAAGCCAGGGTTCAGGGTTTCAGGTTAGGGATGGGTTTAGGGTTTAGGGTTTTAGGGTTTAGGGTTTTAGGGTTTTAGGGGTTAGGGTTATAGGGTTTAGGGTTTAGGTTTCAGGGTTTCAGGGTTTTGGCTTTAGTTTGTCGTGCTGCGTGGCCTGAGGGCTTAATATTAAGTTACGGAAGTTGTTCCATGTTTAAAGTAGATCGGGGCTAGACGGCCAGGGTTTTTAACAGGGCTTGCTGGGCTGAAGGGTCAGGACGTCTGCTGGGCGGCTACCTGCACTTCTTGGGTTTAGGGTTTATAGGGGTTCTGGGGTTTAGAAGAGTTTAAAGCTCACTAAATTGAATTTAAATAGTGCTTGCTCTGGGCTGGCTCGTGTCCGAAACCTCAAACATGGCTAGACCTCCCCCGAACCTAACCCCCAAGTACTAGACAACCGGACAAAACCTAAACCTTAAAACCCTAAAGGCCCTAAACCCCAAACCTAAACCCTAACCCAAAACCCCACAGCCTGTATATCCTTAAACCCCAAGCCCTATCAGCCGCGCTTCTGCTATACGATACACAAAGAAATCTCTCAACCGAGGCGGCTCGGGGGTGCCAGCTGCGGGTCTTGATGATTAGAGTAGGCCTTTGAGGTATTTGTACTATAGTTCTTGATAAGGAACCCCAAAATAGTCCTGCTTGTCATCAAGGCCCCTCAGATTACCAAACACCCCGACCTCTACACGGAAGTGCCCTCAGCAAAGCCATAGCTACATGTCCAGTATCCAAGGGACCTAAAGGCTAGCTTTTGGAGCACATTAGGGTTTATAGTACCCCAAAAGATTAACGGTTACCTACTCTACTACTATGCATATGATTAGAATCATTAGAAATTGTCTTGATAGGCCCTGGAGGTTTCATTGTAACAGAGAAGCTTCTGAGATCAAAGTACAACCTCTCTATGCGAAAGTGACGCCCAAGTCCGAAGACCTTGAATAGGGTTTAGGGTTTAGGGGTTTAGGAAAGACCTTGAGCAAAAGAGCAACGCTTAGGCCCTCTAGGATAAGGCTCAGGGCGTTTAGTGTCCAGGGCTTGGCCCGGTTCTGGGTTTAGGGTTTAGGGTTTGGGGGTTCAGGGTGTAGGGTTGGGCCTATAGGGTGGGTTTAGGGTTTAGGGTTTCGGCTTTGGGGGTTGAGGGTTTGAGGGTTTAGGGTGTATAGGGACTCCTGCAGATAGGCACAGGACTACGGGCAACAATGAAGTGCAGCGGAACTCCCGCAGCTGGATGCCTACTTTGAGTGGAACATGTAAGCTTAGAAGGTAGATAGTACGGCCCCTAAACCCTAAACCCCAAACCCTAAATCCTCAACTCATAAACCCTAAACCGCTTAGTGGGGGGGCCTTATAGCTGCAAGTCCTTAAGGTTGGAGAGTACCCCCGCTTATCCAATCGGTGCGCCACAAGTTACTATACAATGGCTGCATACAGGCAGGAGCCTGGTACCCTAAACCCGAAACCCTAAAAGCCCTGAACCCTAAACCGTGGTAATTAGTATATCTATGTGGCTGAGCTTCTAGGCTTGAGACAGTTGGAGCAAGTTCGGGAGGCATGCAAAGCTGTTGACATAGAGGCCTCAATCACAGAATGGTGCTTTGGTGCATCTTCCCGCCTTCTTACAACAGGAACACCCCAAAAAAGGTAAGTAATTGCATCCTAGCCCTTTCATTGCTCCAACTTCAGTGACGCCTCAACCTACCTGGGCCTCTTCCCGGCCTGAATGCTTTGGTCCTTGAGGTGGATTCGCACAATCTTCACCTCCCAGGAGACACCCCTCAACACCCAGGCCAAGAGTTCTACTGGGCTTTGCCGTCTTTGTAAACACCCGGGTAACAAGTATAGCTGCAAAATGTAGGCCCTACCTGGACCCCAAAGAACCTACTTGTTTAAGGACTTATATAAAGAAATCATAGTAAGGAACCCTAAAAAGGGAGGTTCTTAAGGGTCCAGGTAAACGCTAAACCCTAAGCCGTGGTAGAGGCTACTCGGACCCTAGGGTCTACTAGGTTTTGCATGCTTTCTGACTTTGCGGCGGCGGCTCTTCTGGAACTTTCAGCGTTTCGGACTTTAAGAGTCGATGTCCGGGGCTTACGGGTTCATAGGGTTGGGGTTTGGGGTTCAGGGTTCAGGGCTTATAGGGTTCAGGATTTAGGGCTTAGGGTTTTAGGGTTTAGGGTTTAGGTTTCTGGCTCCAAGAGCTTGGCAACTCACGGGCGGGATGTGTAGAGGATCCTCTCCGACGCAGCTCTGCGAAGCCCTCAAACCCATGGCTGATAGGCCCTGGCACCCAAGCCCCAAACCCTAAACCCCTAAAGCCCTAAACCTCAAGCACCAAAGCCCCAGCCCCTTCAACACCAAACCATTCTGCCGACCGCCCCCCTCCCCCCCACGGCAGAAAATCGAACCCTACAAGCACAGGTTTTAGGGTTTGGGGAAAAGGGTGCTCATAATAAGGAACACTCAAAAGGCAGGTTATTTGGCATACTATTTGGGTCAAGGTCTAAGGTAGGCATTGAGAGCGTAGGCTGCCGGCCCCTAAATCCTACAGTCCTAAACTCTCGTCTTCAACAACCAGGCCGAAACAAGTCCAACTTTTTAGGATAGACCTAATATATAAGGCCAAAAAGTTTAAGGTTCTCCCATTGGCTATCTAAGTAAAGGCAGAAAGCAAACATCAACACCCCAAGCCCCAAGATGCCAAACCCCGAACCCTAACAATGCGAACGAAAACCCCCACCAGCGAATTCAAGGCCTCAGGGCATTTTGGAAGACTTTGCACAGACTCGGCTAGGGTTTAGGTGAGGGTTTAGGGTTTGGCACAGACTCTTCATGACTATGCACCGCTAGCGATAGTCCAGAGTCTCTGCTCCTCCAACCCGAAACCCAAAATCACCCCTCGAGCCCCGACGACTCACGACCTTTAGCAAGCCCTATACCCCAAACTCACAGCACAGGAACCTTCGCTGCTGAGTCCACAATTCAGCTGCTACGGAGGGCAAAACCCCGAACACCTAAGCCGAACAGCCTCAACTTCCTGCCCGATGTAGAGATCCTCCGGAACCTTTGGAGTTGGCCAAGGCTGAGAAAAGCGTTACATGGCTTAAGCTTGAGGGTTTAGCCGGGTTTAAGGCTTAAGGTTTGCATGTGCAATACTATGACAGAAAAAATGTCTGCATAGACATTCACAGAGACATGCGCGACACGGGATTTTTGAATACTCTGGTCTGCAAACAGGTTGAAGAAGTCTAGCGCACTACCTCTGCGCAGAGCATCGGTGGGACGAACGTCGATTTACATACCTGGAGATACCACAACGTTTCAGACAGGCAGCGGTGCTGCCACACCCAACCACCCCAAAACACCACCCCGACTTGGCCCTACACCTGAACCCATCACACTGGACCTTCGGCTAGGGCGGCTTAGAGGGTTTATACGGTTTACGTTAAGGTCTAGGGCTTAGTTTCAGGCCTAGGGTTAAGCATATTAGGGATGTTTAAGGTTTAGGGTTCAGTTTTTGGGATGTTTAGGAGTTTAGGGCTTAGAGTCTAGAGGTGTTTCCAGGTCAGGCTTTCCATAGGTCCTACATCCTTAGGGGCCGAGTACCTTAGCCCAAAAAAGATTAACCTTGCGAATTATAATAGGTTTGTAAGCCCCAAAAGGTTAGAAGGTTACCTACTCAGCCCCTAAGCATCAGGGTTTGACTTGCACATACACACCTCAAAGGACAGCTACATTGCAGCTACATCCCCTCATGTTGCCCATATAGCTATACTACCCCTGCCTCGACCCTCTCGTCCTAGCAACACAAAATTATATGCAATCTTTCCCCGCGGGAAGAAAGACTGAACAGCTCCAAAAACACACTGCTTCGCCCCTTCGTTTATGACCGAAGATCCCAACCCTGAAACCCGAATTCCTAAGTCCCAAGCCTGCAAAACCCTAAACGCCCCTAACCCTGAACTGAACGGGCCTCTCTCAAGCTCAGCTTTCCATAAGCTTCCGTACCCATGTCGATCATGGCAAACTCAGACTCCTCGTCGATCGCGTGGATCTTGCCGGTGCATTTCCTGAGTCACTGCTCGCAACGGCGTGAAACCCCAACTGTTGAAGACGCTGCATGGGTTCAGTACATACAGTGTTTTATTTTTTTTATGTCGAGGGCTTCAGCAAAAAAAAATATGTATATATATATACATACACACTTATTATATGTGTGTATAGCTTTGCGCTAGCCGCAAGCTCCTGACATTGCACAAATGCAAAGGTCATAAGGCCCGGACTGAAACTCTCAAGACCAAGCGGCGTTGAACTCGCGCGCTGAACTTCATCTGTACGTGTCAAACAGCTGGGAATGCCCTCCCCCATAACAAAGAAGCGACTCCCACTAATTTCGGGAGAAGCATTCTTGCGTCCGTCCGCCTTTCGTGTTTACCAAAACTCCGGCTGGTGCACTACTTGGCCCAAGAATGACACACAGAAGACTTGCCGGAGTCTGAATTGAGAACTCCTACACCGGAAGCCTTCAGGTTCTTAACCCTCAGCCCCTGAACCTTCAGGTTCTTGCAGACTGGCGGCTGAGAGGGGCGGAGGTCGCTGGTCTGTAGTCGCATGTCCTTCTCAAGCGATCACTCGCTAGTCGCTGACCACAACAGAAGTACTAACATCAGCAACACCGGAGATCTTCATCATCTCCGTCACCGCAGCACGGGCAAACCAATGATAGTATCGCGCTGAAGGCGAGAATAAGACAAGTAATGCTGATGTTGATGAAGGAAGCGACAAACTCGTACAACTGAGCAAGGCGGTAGATCCTCAGCCTTTGCGCCTTGCTCTTCGAAGCCTATGTTGCAACAGCTACGGCTTTTCTCATGAAGCCGACATGACCCATAAACAAAACCCAGGCTGCCCTGAATAAACCTCACGGCATCTAATCCAAAACAGAGTTTAGTCACATCACTGAGCGTCAAGCACCCCTTGAAGAGTTTCTATATATCCCTACCCAAATCCCCTCAACTCTGGTCCTAGAAACCCTTTAGCTTAGGCTGTCGGTTAGAATTCGGCAGAACCCAACGAGTAGCAATAATAAAGGAACCCTCATTGCTTGAAGCCTTCTTATTTTGATTGGCTTAAAACACCCTAATCCCTAAACCCTAAACCCTAAATCCTGAATCCCTAAATCCTTAATCCCTAAAACCTAAATCCTAAATCCCTAAACATAATAACCCTACAAGCCCTCCTTGGCGTGCACGATGGTTTCCACCGCGGGACCACCAGGTCTCCGATAAGTAACAACATACATGCCTTCGGGTGGCTTTAGGGTTTAAGGCGTTAGGGTGAAATTATAAGGGTTTTATGACGGTTTTTCGGACTAGTTTTCTTCGGAGGGTTCAGGATTTAATGCTGTCGGCGTTTAGGCATGTTTAGGCTTAGCATCAAACCGGTCGTGGGCCATGAAGGACCAAATCTGGTGCAGCCTGACACCCTTCGATACCGAAGCACCTGATCAACCGCATGGTTCCTGCGTTCTTGAGGATGCAAAGACCTACTGCCGGGGTCATAACCGTTAGCATGTACTAATCATGTAGTACATGGCTTGATCATATTGCCAGGTGTAGTGCAGTTAGAACTAAGATGTATGTGCAACTGTACTTGCGAAATCTCCTGGTCCGTTTGAGAAGACCCTTTTCTGTGTCTCACAGTCTGGAGCCGGCATGTGTGAGTAGACCCGTACAACCCCCACGAAGAGATGTCCCTAAACCCTAAACCCTTAAACCCTAAACCCCCTACTGACGATCCGTTGAAGTACAGGACCTCGCGGCCCAGCAACCCTAGAATGCCGGTCCTTCGAGCTGGCTAAACCCTAGGCATTTCCCGGCTGGAAGAATCAGGGATTCGGGTTGTGTAGTTGAGGATTTAGGGCTTCGGGTTGGGTAGCTTAGGGTGGTTCAGCACTCTCAACTGGGACAAGTTTAGTGTTTTTAGGGTTTCGGGTTGGGTGGGGCTTGGGCTTTTGGGCTTAGGTTGGGTTTCCTGGGAACTATAATCAACCGCCCACACCTCGCGGCTGGACGTCCTTGACCCTCGCACGCCTTGCAAGGCTCCGGCCCGGTTTTGGGCTTAAGCTTAAACCCAAAGCCCTAAACCCTTTGAAAGGAACATGTCCCTGATAGATGAGAACTATTCTGTTCAAGGTTTGGCTTACCGGAGGTGGGGTTCAAGGACACGAGTTGTGTTAGAAATTGCGCCCAAGGTCTCGGAAAATGGCCTGAGAGGTACTCTATACGACGCACGTAATCGCAAACCACATTTGCCGCACATTGGTTGGACTCCACAGGCGGAATAATGCCACACAGAGACGGGAATGTAGTGCTCCAAAACCCATCCATCCGTACTTCATGCATGTACGCATGAATGCATGCGTACTGGCGAGACATCACTGCGGCACTAAAAGACTGCAACCTCGTGTGCATGAAAAGGTGAACAAGCTGAATAAGTGTACCGATGCACTACATTCTGCATGTAAAAATATGTGTATGTATGTATGTATGTATGTATGTATGTATGCATGTATGCTTTTTGTAAATATATGTAATGCATAAATGTGTCTGGATGACAATCATAATAGTATAGCACCAATAATAGCGATGATCATACTACTACTACTACTACTACTACTCCTGCTGCTACTACTACTACTACTACTACTGCTACTACTACTACTACTACTACTAATAATACTGCTACTACTGCTACTACTGCT